CACTTTCTTCTATCTCTTTCATGTATATTCTCGGCACGAAGTTTCTCATTCTCGTTCCTCAGTTGTGTGTTCTCATGGCGTTCGTGATGAGCCTGGGCAAAATAATGAAAACAATGTGTTTTAACAGTTATTACATTGAATGTTGGCATTTAATGCTATTATTAATTTTGCGTTTAGAAAACTGATGCTAAAATAGAAAAGACTAGCTAATTACCTTCATTTGAGTACGCTTGTTTTCGAACCAAAACTTAATTTGCAAAGGCTCTAACCCTGATCTTTTCCCCAACTCTTCCCTTGCTTATCATCTGGATGAGGGCATTCTTTGAAAAACCTGTCGAATGACCAATTGATTAATTCCAATAACAACAACAACGTCAACAATAAACCTAGTATAATTCAACAAGTTTAAAAGTTAAGGACACTTGGTCCTGAACTTAGACTAACAAGCTAAAAAGTTAAGGACAATAGGTCTTCAACTTAGGTTAAGAAGCCCAAAAGTTAAGGACAATAGGTCCTGAACTTAGACTAACAAGCTCAAAAGTTAAGGACACTTGGTCATGAACTTACAGTTACAAGTTCAAAAGTTAAGGACACTTGGTCCCGAACTTAGACTAACAAGCTCAAAAGTTAAGGACAATAGGTCCTGAACTTAGACTTAGAAGTTCAAAAGTTAAGGACAAGTAGTCCTTAACTTAGAGTTACAAGCACAGAAATTAAGGACAGGTGGTCCTGAACTTCGAGTTCCAAGTTCAAAAGTTAAGGACATGTAGTCCTGAAGTCCTCAACTTAGAGTTACAAGTTCAAAAGTTAAGGACATGTAGTCCTGAAGTCCTGAACTTAGAGTTACAAGTTCAAAAGTTAAGGACACTTGGTCCTGAACTTTATGAGCAGAAGGGTATTTTCGTCCGGACAGGTAAAGTTTATTAAAGCAGTGGCTAAACACTAAAGACATTTTAAACAATGGCTTAAAAGTAAATACATGTGTTATTAGTGGCTAACCGTACACTTCCCCCTTAATTATATAAACCCAATATATATGGATTAAATAAATAAGTCTTAATCCATTGGGCTAATCCAATTAACTAGGCTAAAGACGACGAGCCCACTTCATTGAGCCCAATATATCATCTTCCTAAAGGCCTAGTTTGGTGCCACGTGTCCAATGACATGGCACGCGAAGTCAAACTAAAGAGCCAATAGGATCAGCCACATGTCAAAATGGCAAGGCATGCCAGGTCAAAATAAATGACCAATAAAACTGTCCCACATGTGCAAGTGACATATTTTGGCCAATCAAATGCGGCATTGTCACTCTATAATCTGATTGGTCGGAAAGAGTTTGTTCTCATCACAACTCTTCCCTTCCACAACTATAAATAGGGGTCTTCATAACTCAGGAAAGACACTAGAAGCTATAACAAGAAGCAAGAGAGAGCTCGTGGATCGAAATCCGCAAATTTCTCTATAAGTTTCAAGCTTCAAGCAATCAAGTTCAAGTTCAAGAAACCAAGTTCAAGCTCAAGAACGAAGAACAAATCAAGATTTAAGGAGTACGAGTTCAAATCAAAGTTCGTGCTAGTTGAATTCAAGATCATCGTTCGTGGCAACAAATATAGATTCAAGATCAAGCTCAAAGGCCCTTGAATTTATTTACCATCGAAAAGAAGAATCAGAGGAATCATAGAGATTGTAACACTCAAATATTTGAAATAAAATACTACGATTGTTGCAATATTTTTCGGTCTTGATTTTCTTTTACGAATTAGGTCCAAATTTAAAGTAAAATTATGTTTGGTTTAGGGTGTCATGATCTAGTTAGCTGTCTTGTCCATTTGTAACTTGTTTAGCTGAACATTTCAAAAATTAGAAGAGCCTTTTTTTTCAACTGATTTAATTTGAAAGTCAGGATGTTTGGCTTTACTTCGAGGAAAAAAAGAAATTCTTAAGATTTATTTTGTTCACAATTAACTCGTAGTTCTTATTTTTCACAACTCCTAGATGAATGTTGATAACTTACGGTCCAGTACCTTCGGAAATATTAGTTAAGCAATATCCATGAAACTCTTGTTCTTTAGTTAGTATTTAACTATGGTGTTATAAATTGTAACATTGAATTAGTCATGAAAAAATGAGTAATTATTGGCAACTGCAAATCTTTCAAGTGTTGTATTGTAAATTTAAGAGGAACATCAGAAATTTTAAAGAAAGAGACCCTTTCACAAACATAATGAAAGTAGCAATAAAAGGGAGACGACGTATATTATTTCTACAATAAAATAAAATTGTTGTATCTGTATAGCCATTATAGTAAATCAAACAGTCTCAATAAATCAAACAGACTCAGTATGCATGGTTGTCGTTTCGATTTCTGGACTTTTATTCTTCTGCTTCTTTGTTTGTCTGAACTCTCCGTAGAAGTATGAGACGAAACCCCAAAGAGAAAGAAAAAGAGCAAGGCCCTTTTCACCTGAAAAATTTTCCCTATAAAAAACTACAGCTAATACCTCAGTAACAGGAAGTAAAACTGCGATCATAACCCCGGACATCAAAGAAGAAGAGCAGTAAATGACTCCAATTACACCCACAAAGAAGCATTGCCAAATAATGGCAGTCCATACTATCACTGTATAATATCTAGCTTCTCCGAGGTTAAATTGTTTTGCCTCCCTTGATATTGCCTGCAAATTTGATCAATATATTAATCCTTGCTCTTTAAAGAGATTGTCTATAGCTAAAAACAAAATTGAATCCAGTACTACCTAGTTTTCATATATTTTTGACATATCCAAATTTAATATAAAAAAATTATTGTATTGAAATAAGAAGAAATAGACGAAAAAAGAACAAGAAAAACCAAAAACGAAAGAAGTTTCAAACGAATATAAGAAATCCTAAAAGATGGATTACTGGTCGTTGGTAAACGCCAATACATCACCTACACAGAGATATGATTCTCTCTTTTTCAAGTTATGTGAAGTAATTTGCCTTCATAAAAGATTTAAAATAAAAAATAAATTTATGAAACTAGGGTCTTAAACGTGTTATATAATATTTATGTGTCTTTAAGACTTTTTAAACTTGTAATTTTGAACTTGCATAACATTGTATGCTTATAAAAAGCTTCTTATTTATGCTAAAATGAAAAGTTTATTGTTAAATACTTTTAAATGCATAAATATGTCTTTTATTTGAGATGGACCAACAGAAAAAAAAAAGTTTTAAATTATTTACCGTTACACTATAAAGTTCTTCTTATCAGGTGATCAAACTAATGTATCATAATATTCAACGATAATTATCTTGTAAAATGACTTGACAGTGTAAATTTTTTTATATTAATGTTGCATAGAAGTTAAACCCACAAAAGAACGGTATAACAAAAAACGCAATGGAGAGTAAGATGCATGTGTACCAATGAGTTATTGGGGAAAAAAAGTACCTGAAAATCGTTATTGACGATCATTCCTACGGTGCAAAAAATAGTAGCAGCAAGACACATGATCATCTGAATCTCCAACACCAACGTAGCAGTAATAGCTTGTTTTGCCTTCAAGTAAATCAACTCAATACATGGCAAAATGACTCCATACAAAGCTGCCGCCAGAAGTGTCATCATAAAACCAAGAATATAGGCTTTACTTGTCACACCTTCTGGTCGATCACCATTAGATCGAATACCCAATAAAACAGCACCAACTGTCAACAAAATCACTGCATTGATGGAGTAGGGTGTGAACTTCAACTTTACTATGAAGAAAGCACCTACTCCTGTGAAGGCAAGTTGAGCAGCAAGAAGAAGTGAAGAGGTTGACACAGGGAGTTTTGACCCGCCCCATGAATAAAGAAAATCATCAAGGCCAGTTACAACGCCAATGACGAACGATGCAATGAAAATTCGGGGTGTTATAAAGTAAAACTTGGTATTAGAACCTTCGATTTTTCGACGATAAAAGTATAGGATGGCAAGAGGTATAAGAGTGAGTGGCCATCCAGCAGTTTGTAACCAACTGCTGAACCATACTCTTGAACCTCCCTCAACATAATATAAACGCATCATTAGAGGGCCCCCACAGATACCAACAGCGAGTATAAGACAGTTAATCAGCAGGAGGATTCTCCTCATGTTGGTGCTTAATCCTTTATGTTCCATATTAATTTTCAAGAGATTTGGATGCTAAGTTGGAGTATATTGCTGCTCAGACTGAATGGTTTTCTTTTCCAAAGGTTTGGATATTTGGACTTCTTGCAGTGATGAGATTTGTAGCCCTCTATTTATAATTGAGAAAAAACTTAGTATATTCCCACGATTTGTTTCACGACATAGATTGGGCCCACTATAATGACCTCTTGGAGTTGCTTGGCGAGCTCAAACAATTAAAAAACATATGAGAGCAAAGACTAAAGAAGCAACGATTATGAGTAACTTTATTGTTTTATTGCAGCATTGAATTTTTACAAAAAATAGTACGCCAACCAAGGACAGTGCCGCGTAAATAGTCATAACGACGCTAACTGGTTGGCATAGTATTTTGCATTTCCACGTGTGAAGAGAAAAATATGGATTAAACTTAACAGGAAGGGACAAACGTGGTTTATAGTTAAGAATTGAATAATTATTAGTAGCAACCCATATGCCAATTTTGTTTAATTAAATAATTATGAGTAGTCAACTTTGGTCTTCTGTCTTTCCCACTCCCCCCACCAGCTCCAACTAACATGGAGTTGGAGGGACGCGCGACAATGGTTAGACTCGACTTCTTTCAAATTCATTTTCTTATAATTAAACAAAACAATGTGAAACTCATGGGTTTATAACTATCGGAGTATCATCTCGTCAAGTAGAGTGTTAATTAAATTAAAAGAATCAAAAAGTTTAGTAACCGCGATGACAAGGGGTACAAGTTTAAATAGCCATTATGCCGTTTTGCCTAAAAAAATTATACATGAAATTATGTTTCAAATATTTCACTTGAAACATAAAATGGCGTGACTATATGGCTCAAAATCTGCTTCAGGGAGATTTAACATGAAGTGGTATTACGAAGAGTAATGTGGTGGAAGTCGACTAGTAGACAGTGGGGCTCAGCCGGGCAGTCAGTAACGGCGGAGGTCAAGTATCAAGAGCAGTAACCACTAGTTTTGTAATAGGATCTTTAGGAGAATATTCAATGGAATATTCTCTGTACTTGTATTTTTAGGGTTGACTAAGGATATGTCCCATAAAAATAGAAAAAGAGATAAGGTGAAAGACGTATAATATGAATTTGATAAGAATACTTTTTGAGAAGAGGACTCTCTCTCTAGAAAAGATACAAACTTTACCTTTCTAACAAGATTCTTCCTTCCATTATTCCATACTTTTTCATCAGATCCTACAATAATTCCATTATTCTAGGATTTGTCTATCATTCATCACTGTCAGAAACAAGAATCATCCACCTCATTCAATATTGGTTGAATTATTCTCTCTATTTACGTTAATGCCATTTATTGTTATTTTCTACTTGATATTTGTCTCTCATTACTCAAATTTAGAATATTAAATGCACACAACATTTAATCACTCACCGACATTGTTTTACATTATTTTTGCTAACCAATTATAAATCTAGGGTTATTATCACTAACTAGGTTTTACCCCTCAGTACATAAAATTAATTAGTTTAATCAAAAGTTTACACTTTTTGGTCAAACAATTTGGCGCCGTCTGTGGGGATTACCTAGTTAAATTTTTAGTTTCTTCTGGATATATAACTGGCACAGTTCACAAAAAAAAACTCCTACTTCCTTGTACATGCATGGTAGGTAACGGAGAAGAAAGAATGAAGGCAGTGGACGATCTCACTACCAATCTCTTAAACACCATCAATGAGGTTTCTGAAAGAGAATGCGAAGATATAACGCATAATGCCTCTCTTAGGCGAGGCGGGTCGCCCCTCCCTGTACCACGACATCCCGCGGTAAATGAGCTTCCACGTCCACAACGGAAGAGGCACCACCAGCAGTGAAGAAACTGCTTGAGGCTTGGCTGACAAACACGTTAACCGGCATCCTTGACAAGCCCGACCAGGAGGCAGTTAGAGAAAATGCAAGGACTTGCATTACACCAGTAATAACCGAGCAGCACGACCCCTTCCCTTCAGTAATAGGTATCACTCACAATGTTAATAATACAGGTGACGACACCCTCACAGCCATTCTGAGAAAGATGGAGAAGGAAAACAAAATGCTCCAGGACCAAATGAGAGAGCATCAAGAAAGAGTCGACAAAATACCGGGTGCCCCAAAACTCTTGCCAAAAAGAGATGCTGGTCGGTTTATTGAAACCCTACAGTGATGAAGCTTCCCTGCATGTCATACCCAAGACCTTCAAGATGCCGCCTTATCTGAATATATACGACGGTACGACCGACCCCGAGGATCACGTGACTCATTATGTTATGGCGGTAAAAGGGAAATGATCTTGCCAAAGAACAAGTATCCTCCATCTTGTTGAAAACGTTCGGCGAGACCCTCACTAAAGGAGCATTAACTTGGTACTCATAACTGCCAGCGCGCTCCATCGAAACAGTTGAAGAGATGGCTGACAAGTTTATAATGGCCCATGTTGGGGCCAAAAAGGCGGAGGTAAGAGTGAACGATATATTTGCCATCAAATAGTCGCTCAGAGAGGGATTGAGGAACATCCTCGCTCGTTTCAACTGAGTAAGGATGACCTTAGTAAATGTATCAGAAGGCATAGCTGTAGCAGCTTTCCAAAATGAGCTGAACATGAATGGTTCGAGGGCGACCAGAAAATTATTAAGTCGGCTAATGAAATATCCTCCAACCACTTGGGATGAATACACAACGCCTATTATGCCGAGGTCCGTGCTGACGAAGACGGCTTGAATGGGCCAACCCATCGGTTGACATCCGTACAGGCCGAATCTAAGAAGGATCAAAGAAATGATGCCAAGAGGGATCTTACAGCTCCACAACCTAACCGAGAAAGGCATCAGCCGTATATCAGAAGCGCTACCATGACCCCTCCCGCAACGAAAAGGGCCCATCTAGGCCAAGAAAAGGGACTCACCGGAACGAGAGAGGTATGCCTCCCTTATTATCCGCTCACAATTTTTGTGTGTTGCCTTCAGAAATAGTCTACGCACTAAAGAAGCTCAAACCAAAAGTAATGTGGCCGCAAAAGATAATGTCAGACCCAAGCACCAGAAAGTCAAACGCCGTCTGTGAGTTCTACCAAAAGCGAGGTCACCAAAATGAGGATTGCATCGCATTAAGTTAGGAGGTCGTAAACATGCATCACCAAGGACACCTGAAAGAATTACTGAGCGACCAATGGAGGACCAACTTCACCCAAGGACGTGAACAACACCAGGGACCAGGGGAACCACCTTTATTAACTCTCACCATTCAAATGATCATCGAAGGCAGCAATGACACATCGATTAACGGCGTAAAATTCACCACAACCCACAAACTCAAATGGTCGATCACTCATGAACAGTATGAAGAACTCGAAGAAAGTATCATCTTCAATAAGTCAGATACCCACGGTTTGGTTTTACCTCACTATGATGCCCTTGTTATCACTTTACGAATATTAGATACAGGTGTAAGACGCATTATGGTGGGCGATGGGAGCGGCACGTGTATTATCCACCCTCGAGTACTCACGTAGATGAAACTCGAGGATAGGATAGTGCCACACTGCATCACGCTTACAAGTTTTAGCAATGCAGTTGAACGAACATGTTGAGAAATCACACTCCCCGTCCTGGCCGAATACGTCACTCTGGAAGCCATATTCCACATCATGGATTAGGATACAACGTACAACGCCATAATAGGACGACCCTGGATACACGCCATGGGGGCCATCCCCTCCAGCTTATACCAAGTTATCAAATTTCCAACCTCGTAGGGAATATTCTGCATCCGAGGAGAACAAAGCACATCACGAGAATGCTACCGCATCTCCCTAGATTGTACGACTACCTAACAAATGAAGGGCAAAGGAAAAGAGACATAGCAATTAACAGGGTCGAGATCGAGCTGTGATGAAAGGGAAGACGTCATCACAGATCCCGAAATGGTGGAGGCCGCGGGATCAACCATAGAAGACCTCGATCCCTTCCAACTTGATGATAAGGACCACAACAAAAAGCCTACATCGGTTGTAAACTTCAAGAACCATGTAAATTCTGTCAATTCTTAACTGCTAACGCAGACTTGTTTGCTTTTTCCCATGCAGATATTCCAGGTATCCCAAAGGAGATTTCCACACTCAAGATGAACGTCGACCGGTTCCCACCCTTAGTGAGACAGGTTAGGCATAATTTCAATTCTACAATAAATGATGTAGTCCGGGAGGAGGTCAAAATATTATTGGAAAACGGTTCCATCAGGGAATCAAAATACCCCCAATGGGTGGCCAATGTGGTCATGGTGAAAAAGAAAAATGAAAAGTGGCAGATGTGTGTAGACTTTACAGATTTAAGCAAAGCATGCCCCAAAGATTTGTTTCTGCTACCTCATATCGACCAGCTCATTGATGCAAAGGCCGGGCATGAACTGCTGAGCTTCCTAGATGCCTACTCGGGTTACAATCAAATCCTCATGGAAGAGGAGGACCAGTAGAAGACTACCTTCATCACCTACCAAGGAACGTATTGCTATAGAGTTATGCCTTTCGGACTGAAAAATGCGGGGGCGAATACCAAAGGTTGGTCACCAAAATGTTCAAAGATAAAATCGGCAAGACCATGGAAGTCTACATAGATGATATGTTTGTCAAGTTCAAAAGGAAAGAAGATCACATTGACCACCTGAAAGAAGCCTTTGATATACTCAAGCGATACAGAATGAAGCTAAATCCTGAAAAGTGTGTATTCGGTGTGACCTCAGGAAAATTCTTTGGCTTCATAATATCACAGCGAGTTATCAAGGTCAACCCCGACCAAATCAAAGAAATAGAGGGGATACTAGAGCCATTAACCAGCAAAAAACAGGTTTAGGGACTGACTGGCCGTATCGCCGCCCTGTTGAGATTCATCTTGCGATCATCCGATAGATGCCAGAAGTTTTTTGGCATACTAAAGAAGGACAATGCCCTCAAGTGGACTTCCGAGTGCGTCAAATCCCTGAAGGAGTTAATGGCTTACGTATCATCATTGCCTCTGCTTTCTAAGGCGGAGCCCGAGGAACGCCTCCTCGTCTACCTTGCTGTATCCGAAGTAGC